AGACTGTGAGAGGGCACAGGACGGGCTGATGGACCCCCCCCTCCCCCTCCCCCCAGTGCACACATTTTTGTGCACTGGGCCTCTAGTATAACTATAAAAATAATATCAAGTACTCTCACCTTACAGTTTGATCTCTTTATTTAAAAAGTGATGAATATTTTCTTTAAAAATGTTTATTCCTGGCATATAGAAAATGTAATCTGGAATAATTTGATTGCTTTTAAAACAATGCCTTAGGGTGTAGTTTGGCAAATATTTGCTTTATTGCAACTAGGAAGAATTATAAATCTGTTAAAGTAAATTTGCTCAAACTGGAGATAAATTACTTCCCTGGTACTTTCTGACACAGTCAGTTCTTGGCCACTGTCCAGAATTCTATAAGGCATGAAGATGTATCTTCTTTATGCTACCTTTAAGGAAGGATATGTGCTCACCTCTGTGTGTATCCTTGAGGGCTTTTCTCTGCTTGTTTATTCCATCTGGAGTTGAGGACCAGGACTCAGTATGTGAAAAAGGAACTTCAATGCCTTAGATGACTATGTTCTGTGCTTTAGGGCAGTGATCGCCAACCTTTTGGACCTCACGGACCGCCAGTGGTCTGCAGACCACTGGTTGGCGACTGCTGCTTTAGGGTATGGTGATAAACTAGTCCAATTTAAACTGTTCAAAAACAAAGTTATATTTGAGGGAATGTCAAGGTAAAAATGAAGACATCTACCTAAAGATTCCCTAATAAGGGAAAAAGTTGTTAAGTTGATTCAGTCAAAACATGGGTTTTCACCCTGGTCATTGTGGCTCAGTATCATCCCATGTACCAAAAGGTCACTGGTTCAATTCCTGGCCCAGGTTGCAGGCTCGATTCCCAGTAGGGTGTGGTAGGAGGCAGCCAATCAATGTTTCTCTCTCTCTCTCTCTCTCTCTCTCTCCTTTCCTCTCTCTCTAAAAGTAAACAATAAAAATATATTTAAAAATAAGTTAGTTAAATAAAAGTACATAGGTTTTTCAAAGTCAGGAGATAGTCTTAAATCTAGCTCAGGTAGTTCCGTATTGTTTCCCAAAGACCATGCAACAGCTTTCCTTCTGGGTAAGTAGTACAGTCTTGAGTCTGTGTCAGCCTTTCTTTGATGATTTATAAATGGGCCCTAGCTGGTTTGTCTCAGTGGATAGAGCGTTGGCCTGCTGAATGAAGGGTCCTGGGTTTGATTCTGGTCAAGGGCATATGCCAGGGTTGCGGGCTCGATCCCTGGTACGGGGCATGCAGGAGGCAGCTAATCAATGGTTCTCTCTTATCATTGATGTTTCTCTCTCTCCCTCTCCCTTCCTCTCTGAAATCAATAAAAGTATTTTTTTCAAAAATAAAATAAATGGGTTCGCTGGAGCCTGCCTTGAGTTCTGGGTAAATCAAGTATATAATATACACTAGTAGAATATTCTGTCTAACTCAAGCAAGACACATCATCTCCCTGCTACTCATATGAAATGTAGCCACTTTGAGCATTTTCAAGGTCATTAATTATACTATTTGTGTAATACAACTATTAATGATTTTTTTCTTTCTGTTGGCAAGATGTTAGCAATCTTATGACCAAAAGGGCTATGTTCAATTCATATGTGTATATTTACATCACTATACACTATGGTGAGCAAAATAATAGGTCTCAGTAAAAGCAAATGCATTATATTTTATAGGATTTTCAGTTAATTATATGCATGCTGCAAATGAAATTCTCTGTGCTGTCAATATCAAGAAAAGCTTTTTTTCATTAACTTTGGAATCCCCTTGCAGTAGGGATAGCTTAGTGATTATTTGTAATATCCTTGAATAATTTTTAGTTGTAAATGTGCATCAGTATTTGTATTATTCTGCCAAAGCCTCTTACTAAAACATATTGCATTTCTGGAATCGGGTGGGTGTATGATTACAAAAAGAAACACTTTTGTTTTTGCCTTTTCTTCTGCTTTCATCTAGACACATTATGCAGTACGTGATACCATTGAACTATGTACAGCTGAATCCATTGATACCCTCCGAGCAGCGATTGAATGTGAACAGCCACAACCTGACCTCTACAAGTAAACATCACCTGGTTTCATTTTACTACTGTCTGTTGGCTCTGCCTATCTTTACCACCAGTATGGCAAAAAAACACCCACCGCTTACCAGCCTCCTTTCATTTGTTTTATGAGCTGTTCCTTCCTTCTGGCATGGAAATAAATCATATCAGCCTTGTTCACTACCAATCTAAGATAAAATATATTGGCCCAGGCATCTCACTTGTGATTTTTCTTTTATTCTTGTTATTTGTAAACATGGCAGTCCATCAAATTTTAAGATGATGTTATCCCGTAAGGCCAATCTACCAAACTTACTCATTAACCAGAGTTAACTAAAACAAAAATAAAACACTTCATTTGTTTTCCAATATCAAAGAAAGAAGAGGGTATGGAGCCATGCATTTAGTAGGCATTCTATCATTAGAACTGCATATTGTGAATAGGCTGTTTTTTGTCCACAGTAAACAGATAAGTGGAGGAAGTAATAAAATGGTGTAATGTCCTCTATTTTACTATGCTTAGGTTTTCTGGAGTAGTTTTGCTGATTAACAGTGGGATGTCAGAAATTTGGAATTTGATTTTTAAGATTGGTCAGTTTGGCTTATTAGAGCATGGTGACAATGAGGGTAGAGTAACAGGTTTTATCCCCAAGCTGGTCAATTAATTTCATTCTATTACAGATGGCATCCATTACCTATTCCAGCCATCTAGTTAATGAGTTCTGTTGGTCATAATGGGTCAGATGATTGGGTGTGGCTTAAACTAACACCAGGTAGTGGAAAAACAAAGTAGCCATCCTACTACAACAGTGGTTCCCAAACTTATTTGGCCTACTGCCCCCTTTCCAGAAAAAATATTACTCAGCGCCCCCTGGAAATTAATTTTTTTAAAATTTTAATAGCAATTAAACAGAAAGATATATGTATTAATGTTTCTACCTTTTTCGTAAAATATAGTAAAGAAAGGTGTAAATTAGAAACATTGAAGTTTGAAATTATGAAACTATTTATTGAACTCAGAATAGAAAGGTAATACAAAAAAAGTTAAAACAAATGCCCCTGTGGCCATCACTGCCCCCCTGGATCGCTGCAGCGCCCACCAGGGGGCGGTAGCGCCCACTTTGGGAATCACTGTACTACAAGAACAATGCCTCTCGCTCCTTCCCACCAGTCCTTCTTTCCTCTTTCCCTTGTTCTGTATCCATGCTGATATTAAGAACTAGGTCCACAAAGCAAAATAGCTGTTCTCTGCCTTAGCTCACAGTTTGCAAAGGAGATAAAACAGTAAATCTAGGCTTATAGTACAGTGAGATAATAGAGATGAATAAAAGGCCCATGGAATCAGAGAAAAGGGAGTGACTGATTCTGCTTGAGTTAAAGAATAATATACATCCTTGCATATTTATAGGGCAACTCCTACAATTTTCAGTTACCTTAAATATGAAGGAGAATTTTAGATCAGGGAAGGTTATTGCTAATTCTCTAGACTAGATTGAGTGCCCTTGATATGTGACTCCAGAATACCTTGTGCTTTCACTACCCTAGTGGTAATTTACTTGTATTGTAATTGCCTGATTATTTGTCTATCTTAGGGTAAGTAATGTTTTTCTTACTTATTAGTATATCTCCAGCACCTTGCATAGTACTTGTACAATTAATATGATGAATGAACTACCAGAGATTCATATTTTGGAACACAGTAATAATACGTTCCATTTTTTCTGGAAAAAAATTTGCAAGTTATAAAATATTCACAACACTTGTTAAGAAGGGGTTAGGCCTTTTTACCCCATTTTTTCAGAAATGCAGATTAACATGTACCTAGCCATATTAAGTGATTGGATCAAGCTCAGTAATGAAATCAGCTTCAAAACAATTTGGAAATTTCCAAGATGGTAATCAAGTGTTTACTGTCTAAAACTAATGCCGTGGTTCTCAAAGGGTTACCAGGCCAGCAGTATCAGCATCACCTGAGAAATAGTTGAAAATGTAAATTATCACCTGAATCATAAACTTGGGGATGGGTCCCAGAAATTTGTAGTTTAATAAGCCCTCCAATGATTCTAATGCATGCTAAATGAAAGAACTACTGAAATAAATAATAGTTTTGAAAGTTGTGTTAACACCAGAAATCTTTCTTCACATGAATCAATAATAGAAGCCAATTATTTATATAAAGTATAAATAAGACTGATGTTATGTGTATGTACAATGCCAAGAATATCTTGAAAACCAATTTAGTATATTTGTTTACATTCTTATAATATTATTTTAAGAATTAGATTAAAATGTTACCTTATGGTTATTTCATATTTTTTTCAGAAATATAGTAGACATTCATAGTTCAAAGTCTCTTCTCTTTTGCATTATTTGTATTTTGATCCATTTCCAATTTTTGTAGTATATAGATTTACCTATATGTAGAAAACTCATTTGCTATTATCTTCTTTTGCAGGTTTGTTGGGCGAATCAGTATCTATAATAATACTCTCAAGGCGAGGTTAGTTTGCTATTCCTTTAAACTGTCCTTTGAGGGGGATATTAAAATAGCCAATTTTTTTTTTTTATAAAAAGAGGTTGAAGGTGAATAAATCTGGAGTAACTAGCCAGTATCCCACTAATTGGTCTTAAGTAACCAATCTTGTAATTGGTAGGAGCTCTTATGTTGTAGGGTCTTTGAGTTGTGTGTGTCCTGGGCAGAGGGATAGTATTGGAAATAATGCTGAAGGTTTCCAGAATTGCAGAGCTCCAGACACTTTGATAATTCCCAAATCTCTTCTAGACACTATATTTATTGTCATAGGTTGTTCAGTGGCAGACAGTATTGGAAATATACCTTGAGAACAGTGAGTGGTTTAAGGGAGAGTCATTGAGGGTATGGGCAGTGGATAAAAGCTGGGAGAATTACCTGGAATGCTAATCATTTTTAATGCAGCAATTCATATACAAAAGGTTTTTTTCCCCTCTATCATTTAGTACCTCAACTTTTCTATTTGGCCTTTATACCATACTCAAAAGGAAGTAAAAGAAATGCCCAGTTGCCCAATGATCCCCCCAAAGGCGGGTTTACTCTCCTCTCTATAAATATGTCAGTGTGTCTTTCCCACCTTGGTGTTTTATCTGTTACATTCTCTTTCTGTCTGCTGCTTTGTCCTGTTCACGTCTTTCTATGACTCATAATCCTTTTATCTCTCTGTGCATCTCTTTACCTCTGTGTGTTGCTGGCTACTCCTGTACTGTGCTTTTAACTGTGTTGTGCCCTGGAGTAACTTTAGAGGGAAGGGTCTTTCAGGTTGTCCTGGGGAGTAAGCATGTGATATAATTAGACAGATATATTCTGAACCCAGGACATAGAGGTATGGGCAAAATATGTCCCCAAAGTTGATGGTGCGATTTATTGGACTGTTTGGATAATCTGTGTTCATTTTTAATTTAGGTCTTTGGGACCTGAAAATCTCTTGTTGAAAGGAGCTACACTGAAAAATACCAAGAAGATATATGGTGAGCAATTTTTAAGACATACCTACCAGAAATATGCTTTATAAGCCTGTGCATAAATAGTGCGTATTAAATTTTAACAGCAAATAACTGCCATTTAATCTAAGCCTATTTTTAGGTGTTGGGAATTTATAAGATGGTAAACTACCTTGAAATATTATAAATAAATTATATATAATTAAAATTCTGCTATCAAGGATATAGCAACTGGTGAATAGAAGAGGGTTTAAAATTCCTGCTTTTATAGGATGAAAAAAAATCGATAGTTCCAGTTGGATGAGGAGTTAGTTGTAACTTAGTTTTCATTTTATTCTGTTATTCCTTAGGAGTTGCTGTTTACACTGGGATGGAAACCAAAATGGCTTTGAACTACCAAGGGAAATCTCAAAAACGTTCTGCTGTTGAAAAGTTAGTATGCACTGCAGTTTCTTTAGTTGTTATTGAACTGAAGTAGTTACTTCTCAGTAATTACAATAAGAACCATAGTGAAAAAACAACATCAGTTATAATTGCAGCTACCATTTTGAGTACTTTTTATGTTCCAGAAACTGTGCTTAATGATTTGTATTTCTGATTTGGTGTAATCCTCTAACCAGCTGTATGGAGTAATTCCCATTATCCTGTTCACTTTACAGATGCAGAAATCATCTCAGAGATAGGTGACTTACCTAAGCTCACATAGATATTCAAGGCAGATTTTGGTTGAAATATAAATTTATTCCCTTTGCTTCTAGATAATGGTTTGGGGTCCTATAGTTGCTATATGTAAGGAGGTTCTACAACATAGATCATAGTCTCCAGGCAAATGTTGAAGTGGTACCTGGTAGACCTTCAAGCCATCTGCCACTGGCATGGACCTAGCTATTGTTGGCATGGATATCCAGTACATCAGTGGCATCCTCTTCATAGCTCTACTTTCTGACTAAAAGAGTCTGCACTAAGCTTGAGGATTGCACACTTGCTTTCCCACCCTCTACTCCAAGTCTTTAGGATTAAGGAAAACAGAGACAACCTTCTCCTTCTATAAGGTAATGGTGTGTTTGCACCATTACCAATGAATAGGTAATGGTGTTTTGCGTGTGTGTGTGTCCTGTCACGTTATAGGATCCTTATTAAATATGTGTTAAGCTAGTCAGCCATTGCACTTTGGGGAGCATTGGTGATAAACAAACAGGTCAGGACTGGCTTTTCCATTTTACCACTTGAGAGTGATAATCATACATATAGGCTTGTGCTGTGGTAACACATCATACTCAGAAGAAGCTTTAGAAGACTGGATGATTTAAGTTATACCTGGTTGATATCTTAAGTAATTAGATGGTTTTTCAATCCATGTCTTATTTTTCAGGTCCATTAATCTCTTCTTGATTGTGTATTTATTTATCTTACTGACCAAAGCTGCAGTATGTACTATTCTAAAGTATATTTGGCAAAATACCCCATATAATGATGAACCTTGGTATAACCAAAAGACCCAGAAAGAGCGGGATACTTTGAAGGTAATTTGTTTTATGCTTAAAATTTTAACTAGCACCTTGTTATCACACCACCCTTGATTCAAGTGCTGCTCAAATAATGGTTTTGTTGGTTTCTGGGTTTCCTCTTGGTTGTATGGTAACCCTAAGCCATTACATGGTTTAAAAGTTTTAGAGTTTTGTTTTATTTTGATTTGGGTATTTATGCTTGTTTTAGCTCTTTACTTCAGAGTTTTGAACAATTGGGCAAGAAGCTGGCATATAAATACAGTATGAGCTTGTGATATATCATGCAAGGAGCAAAATAAATGCCTACATAGAAACTTTGCTTCTATATTCCTAGTTTGGGGTAGGAGGAGCACACAACATAAGGAAGTGAAGAAGTACTAGTATGGAGTCAAAAGGTACATTCACTGAAGAATAATGACAAAATTAAGGGTGTTTTCACATACTGTAATAATAAGTTTGACCAATGATATAGTGTCTTTGGGAAGTTGTTTCAGTGTAGCAAGACAGTGCTTTCAGCATCGAAATAAAAAGATAGAAACTTAACTAGTTCTTTATATTACACTTGTTTAATGGAAGTACATTTAATTAGCATAAACTTTTTTTTTGTTGTTTTAGGTTTTGAAAATGTTCACCGACTTCCTATCATTTATGGTTCTGTTCAACTTTATCATTCCTGTCTCCATGTATGTCACAGTAGAAATGCAGAAATTCTTGGGCTCCTTCTTTATTTCATGGGATAAAGACTTTTATGATGAAGAAATTAATGAAGGAGCCCTGGTTAACACATCAGACCTTAATGAAGAACTTGGTCAGGTTAGAACTTATTTTTACTTAAAATAAATTAATATAGTTAAAATATATTTTCTTGTAGTCTGGATTACCAATGTATGTGACCATATCGTGTTTGGAAATGTGAATCAAAACAAAAAATGTATACAGACATATCTTGAAGGCAAGCAATGTTTCCATAGCTATAGCATCAGTTATTTTGCTGGCATTTTGGAGAAAGATCCCAGTATGTATTGAATTTAAATGTTACAGAAATTCTCTTTAAAACTTGATGTTGTTAGATTATGGGTTATTGCTTTGGAACAGGAAACATGTGGTCTTCATCACCACCTATAACTATTTGGGGATAGAATATGGGATAGCAAATAAAACTATTTTGTAAATGTGTTTTGTTCCATAGACTAGATTGACCAGAGTTGTCTTGTTGGCATTTTCTTAGAATATTTCTGGTCAGATGGATATAGACCTAGAAAGCAGTTGTTTATTCCAGTTCAAAATTTTGAATGAAGGGAAAATGTGAGGGCATGCACTCCTCAAAATGTTTTTTGCTCTGTATACCAATGTAGCCCAAGCTTTCACCTTGTTTCTAACCCAAGAGCATTTGTTTTCCAATGCAATGCAATCTAGCTGTAATTCTTCAAGTGATGACTTCCTAGGTGCTTTTTTAAATCAGTACTGAGAGAGTTTTTCCCTTTGTCTGAATTTACTGTGTGATGTGTAATTTTCACAAGCTGAGGAAATTTTTTGGCTTCATTTAATTCTCATATTTATAATGTCAGGGATGTGGAAATGTCATTCCTGTGACTGTGAGATACAAATTCAATGGAACTGTGTGGGTGAAACAGGGCCTCAAACTTGTTTTGAATGGTGCTAATTTGCATCTACACCTCTAAACTGTCTTACTGAATTTAGTACTCCTCCACCCATCCCCCATCTCTTATTTCTGTTTACACAACCTTTACCTAAATCAAAGTACCCTCTTGACATCTACAATCACAAGGGTGAAAGAACTCTCCAGATTTTGTTGAAACCTGACTTTGGGACTCCAGGATCCCAAACCATGGAATCTGCATCCCACAGTGATACTTAGTCACCAAGGATACAACAAGAAATAAATGAATGAATACTTTTCCCTTCGATATTGTTCCCAGAAGATTTCTTTTTTTTTTTTTAGTTTAATGTTTTTTATTCAAGGGAAAACAATCCATGGATTGGGCACATACAGAGCCTCCCAAGCAGCGGGGCCCGCTGCCAGAGGAATTTGGGGCGCGTTTCTAGAGCGTTAGGATTGGCTAGAAGGGCGGGGATTTCCTTCTAAGGCCAGCAAGTCCTGTTTTCCTGGGTGAGGTGAGCTCACTAACGCTGAGTTGGAGGATGATCAGTGGTCTCTGTTCGCTTTCCTTCCAGGTGTTCCCTTTACATGCAGGCTGACTTAGGTTTAGATTCGTGACCTGGGCTGGGCCCCTGGGGTGACATCCAGTGTATGGGTCCCAATATGCAAATCGACTTTATCAGAAGCAAAGGAAGACCCTTTCTTAGCTACACAGCCAGGCTCTCAGAGTGACTCAACAGTCACCCAGTCACCCTAACTCTTACCTTCCTCAGAGGCATTCATCTGGTGCTCCCCCACCCCTGCCTCGTTCTGTGGCTTTGGCTCTTTTTCAATATTTTCCTTTTATTTCCTGACTCAGCCTGAGAGAGGTGTTCTTATTGGGCCAGGTCCAGGCCATGTAGCGATCCCTCTCAGGCAGTTCCCACACTAAGTCACCTCCAGAGGGCGCTGCCTGTATAGAGATTTGTGATTCCCAAAGAGGAGAGGAGCATCAGCAGACCTCCTGCACAGACCGCAGCCAGAGTCACCTGCTGACATTATCTTTTTACTTACTCAGCCTGGACAATGTGCCCCCAGACTTTAGAACAGGTGCAAACCTACAAGATTACCTCCACTGTAAAAGCTCCCCCCGCATCCCCAAGCGGAATTAGCAGCTGGCTCCTCTGTGGTCTTGTATTTTCACAATTTCTGGACTAGTTGCATTTTGTAGTAATATAGTTAAAAACACTGGGAACAGGGGGCAAGGGGATAGAAACATCTATGGTAGGCAAAATGCGCTCAGACTGAAGGTTCCTAGAAGGTGCCTCTTTTTTCTTTATTGCTTAAAATATTACAATGAGTAGTACATTTGTCTCCTTCCCCCCCCCCCTTGACCTTCCCCCAGCCTCCCCTACCCCC